CGAGTCTGAGAAGGGAGAGAAGCGAGAGGTGGCTTCTGAGGAGGACGCTCCTCAGTGCTGGACCACATGTGCCTGTCCCCGGATTCCGCTCAGTGCTTCCTGTGCTGCTCCAATCTTTTTTTTTTCTTTCTTTCTTTCTTTTTTTGAGACAGAGTCTTGCTGTCTCCCACACTGGAGTGCAGTGGTGTGATCACAGCTCACTGCAGCCTCGAACCCCTGGCCTCCAGTGATCCTACTGCCTTAGCCCCCTGAGTAGCTGGGACTACAGGTGCACACCAACACACCCAGCCAATTAAAAAAATAATTAGAGATGGGGTCTTGCTATGTTGCCCAGGCTGGTCTCAAACTCCTGGCCTCAAGCAATCCTCCCATATCAGCCTCTCAAAGTGCTGGGATTACAGGACTGAGCCACTGGCCCCAGCCCTGCCCCACCAGGAATCTTTTAGCTGCCCATAGCCTGGTTCCTGCACCCTGCTCAGCCTCGGCCCTGGTTGCCTCTGAGTCTCTGACACCAGGCTGTGCTGTCTACGCAGGGCACACCCTCAGACTCATTCCTGGCCCTGGCACTCGTGCACTGTCTACCTGGCCACTCTACCGTCTGCCCGCTTCCTGCTGCACCGCCAGACACACACCCCTCCATGGACATTCACTCCTCTGGACACGCACAACCGCCTAGGGCTCACCCTGCAGGTCTGCTGTGTGCACCTGCACCCTAACCACCACCCCAGCGGTCTAGGGAAGACCCAGTGCTTGTCCCCTGCTGGCGAGGCTCAGGTTCAACCTGCGCCTTCTTCAAGCTACTGCCATCTCCTGCACCCCTCACCTGGGAAGATGAGCACCCCCCTCTTCTGCTCAGACACACCCTTCCCTACTTACTTTTCATCTTCTCCCTACCCCTGCCCTGGCCCAGCCACCAGCCTGCAGGAACTTGAGCTCGTGGGAAAGGCTTGCCTCTCCTCCCCACAGGCTCCCTAAGCCCCCACACTAATTAGTCTGAGAGCTGCTGGGGAGGAGAGAACAGGGAGGGAAACGGCACACCTGGAAGGTGCCCACCAAGAAAAGATGTTTGGAGCTGAGGCACTGTCCCCATGGGGGCCCAAGGGTGTGGACCCTCCTAGAGCTCACTGTCCGCCATGGGGACACACACGGAGCCCGCTCTCCCACCCGGGACCCAAAGCCCTGGCCCCTCCAC